CAGGAGAAACACAGTTATAGAGCAAGAACTGTGAGAACAATGGTTCATAATAGCGGACATGCTACACAGTACAGGTAACAGGAACCTTATAGAGCACGCAAGAGCCATGGGACTGATGACTCATAGAGCAGGCATGCTAGCAGGCAAGGAAATAAGTACAAAATGAGGAGAAAATGTATAAATTGCATTATAAATTTTCTCCAGTAATCTTACAAGTCCGTAGTGGCATAATGAGCACTTGGCTTTAAAATATATAAAGACGTATATCACATGTACGTAATGTATGCACATACAACACACACAGACTAATGAACTTGGATAGAAACAGAAGACTTATATCATGAACCTTCTCGAAGAAGTAAAGTAATATCAAATGTTACCATTCAAGCTATTTTTGTCTTTTTCTATCTACAGGCTTAAAATTGTTATTTCAGATGTGTCTCACCAATTTCAGAGAGAGCCACTCAAGGCATAACTGGGGAATATTTTGAAGATTGAGAAGGAAAGCAGAAAGAAAATCACATCTATAATAGTTTCAGGAGAAAAATAACATATCAAGGAATAGAGATGACCAAGGGGGAAAGTACTCTAAAACGGAAACTGTGACTGAACAAAGAATGGAAGAGGACACTGGAGAATGCAGACTACTCCCCTGGTCAAGAACCAGCAGAACTAATATTGTTTAAAAGGCTTTGCTACCGAAAGTGAAAGTGATCTATGGGTTGAACACAACCTTGATGAAAACTGTAGTGCTACTCCCCTCAGAACTAGGGGAACATGATCAAATTAATATACAAGTATAGATTATTCCAAATAGGCCAAGCAATACTGAGCAAAAGAAGGAATACTGGAGATAAAACAAAACCTTATTGAAACTGTTCTGCAGAACCACAGCAACAAAGCCAGCACAGTCAGGGCACCAAAACAGATAAGAAAAACAGTGGAAGAGAACAGTACACTCAACAACACATCTATACAGTGGCAAACAGTTTGCCTTCAATAAAGATATCAAAAGCATGCAATGGAGTTTCAAACCCAGTGCTGAGGAAAATGGATATTAACACTCACAAGAATGAGGTTAGATGCCCATCTTTTATCCCATACAAAACTATCTAAATGGAACAAGGTGCTTAATGTAAGACCTAATGCTTCAAAACTGTCGTGGGAGATTTTTTCAAGACAGATTCTTAGACAAAGACTGCCCAAAAAGGATCCCAAACAGTCCAGGAAGTAAAGTCAGTAACTGACAAATGAGACTGCATGAAACATAAGTGTCTCTGTTCAGCCAAGAAAACAATTGACAGATGACAAAATGAGAGAGAAAGTCCTGGATAGGTATTTATTTAACAAGGGATTAAAATCTAGAATATTTAAAGTACTCAACAAATTAATCCTCAAAAATAGTTGAACACATGAACCAGACAGCTCTCAAGAAAGAAAGTTATGTGCTCAAAATATTTTTAAAGGTTCTTTCTAGAGAGTTTGTCTCAGTCACAATGCCAATAATCCAGGGATCAAAGAACCAACACTGGCAAGAATATGAAGAAAGAGCCGTTAGTCTTTGCTGGTGGGAATATAAAATATATAGCCAATACATGCAAACAGCAATGGAAATTCCTGGTGGAGTTGAAACCGGCTCAACTCTGCTGGTATACTCCTGAAGTACTCTGTGTCTGAATACCATAGAGATGCATGTACGATGCCCACATACTATATAGATACACAAGTGTCCATTACAGCACTAATCATAATAGTCAGAACATGGAACTAATTTAAATGCCAATCAACAGATGAGCATCAAAAGGATATGTGGTACCTATACACAATGAGGGTCACTAAGCCACAGAAAACAGGTTTTCATTACCATCAGGAATATGTGCTAAATGAATATGCCAGGCCTAGTAAGAGAAATAACACATTTCCACCCTCTCAGATATTATATATATAATGATGGAGTGTTGGATGATAGATTGGATAGATGGATAGATAGATGAGTTATAGATGATAAGCTGATGATGATAAATGGTAGACAGCTAGATATAGAAATGATATATATACACATATATATGTACAGCTATAAATATAGAGATAAATGGGAAAAAGCTATTTGGAAAAGGATGACTGACAGGAGGAGGGAAAAGGAAAGGAGGGTTATGATGTGTGATTATTTAGCAATGTACAAAAAATTACATATATAGATACATCAAAATGAAATATACCATTTTGTACATTAGTTTTCAAGCTTAAAAAGAAAAGTACTGAGTGAAAAAATATATAGTTGATGAAAATTGATACAGTATCATGGATTACAGAACACTATTTTTATTTAAATTAGAATCAAGCTTGTTTTACATGTCAGTCCCTGTTCCCTCTTCTTCCCCTCCTCCCCTTCCCCCCACCAACTCCCTATCCCATCCCCTTTCTCTTCCCCAGGGAGGATGAGGCCTTCCATGGGTGATCTTCAGTGTCTGTCCTATCATTTGGAGCAGAGCCTAGACCCTTCCCCATGTGTCTAGTCTGAAAGAGTATCTCTCTATGTGGAATGCACTAAATTCCACATAGAGTGATCAATAATGATCCACTGACAGAGGCCCCATAGATTGCCCAGGCCTCCTAACTGACTCTCATATTCAGGGGTTCTGAATCTGTCCTATTCTGGTTTCCCAACTATCAGTCTGGGGTCCATTAGCTCCTCCTTGTTCAGGTCAGCTGTTTCTATGGATTTCTCTAGCCTGGTCTTGACCCCCTTTGTTCATTTTAAGAGCTCGTATTACTGTAGCTGTCTCAGATCCTCCTACAGGACAGAATTCCAAAGTTACAGAGTAGAATGACTATTAGGCAGCTCTGTGTCAGGCACACCACTTCATGGACTACAACAAAAATTATGTGTGAGCCAAGCATTTAATTCCAGCCTTCAAGAGAAAAACATTGGCAGATTTCTGTGAATCCAAGGACATCCTGGTCTATGTAGAGAGTTTCAAGCCAGTTGGGGCCAGGTAGTGAGACCCTGTCTCAAATAAACAAACAACAAGCAAGCTATATGCGGGCTGAGACTGTAGATCTATCGGAGAACATTTGCCTAGGTTATGCAAGGCCCTGTGTTAATTCTCTGCCTTCATACACAAAGCACGTTATTTTTCTTTTATAGAGAAAAGTCTCTCATGACTGATGGATTTGATTTTCTTGCATACACTATACCATGTTATATGATTCAGAACTAAGAACAATATCATCTGCTAGGGGCCTGGGTAGAGATTATGCCCTGAGCACACATAAAACACAATTTCTGCCACTATTAAAAAGATGAAGAACACAGACAAAACATAAACATTAGACAAGCTTTTAATGCTAATCTCTAAAACACAATACTGTATATTACATTAGCCTAGATTTATTGAAATTCATCTTAAACAATTGGATTTTTTTATTATTGGTTTTTGAAAAATAAGCAATCTGAAAACTGCGTACTTAAATCTTACTTGCTCTATTCTGTGGAACACCAAGCTAGAAAATAAATATTTATTAATTTCAACAATAGGAAATACATTTAATACTAGAAGATCAATAAAAGCAACCCTTAGTAATTTCCTCAATATATCCAAGGTCATAAAGAGCCTAGTTCCAATAATTCATTTAGACCATATAGTTTGAGTTGGAGGCAAAAGTCACATGCTCACAGAATTGAGGGATATTTGGCTGTAAATCATTGGTTTTAGATGGTATTTGCTTCTGCCTTAGACATAACACTAGGGGAAACAGGCCTTGGCTTGCTCATCAGTGGGAGATTGTATGAGAAGTGTGCATTTGTTCATTTCAAGAAATTCCCTGAGTACATCCTCTGATGAACATAGAACAGGACAGTTCCCCTTGTTTCTATTGTTTGAGATACAAATAATCCAATATTTTGAACCTAGAATTTTCAGGAAAGGAACAGGAAAAAATGTATGGAAACACTTACTTTGAAATTATAAGTATTCTTCAACATACAATAAGAGCAAAGGTGATAAAAAGAAACACTTGAAATAGAATTTCATAAATTTTTTACAGGACAGTATGTTAAGATACCCTGAGATTACATAAAACTACAAAATCTTTTAGGCCCACAATCATAAGTAGCACTGCTGGAATAAGAAGAACAAGAAATAAACAGGAATTAAGCTCATCTGTAGCAAAGCGCTGTGTTCACACCATATTCCTGTTGCTCAAATGGCATTAGACTTTACCTGTGAGGCCTTGCATGCCTAGGTCAGGCTGCTGTGCATAACAAACAGCCTAATCCCAAGTGACTAGGGAGTCTGCTCCTCCAAGAGCAGTGCCTCAAACACAACTCTTTTCTCCAACTGTCTGAGTTTATTTACATATAGAACCCACCAAGGTGTTTCTGTAGAGACCAAAACAAATTGGAGGGGGGAAACCACTGAGTCTCTGATGATAGTTAGCTGTTAGGAAATTTTTGAGAGGAGCTTACAGATCAGTTACTCTGAAACAAGGAGGCACAGTAAAATTCCTTAAAATACAAATTTTTAAAAAGCGAATGGAAGTCATTACAAAATTATCTAACTGACATGCTATGTGGTAAGATCCTTTCATGTCAGAATATGTTACATACTGTAAAATGATTCCCATGGGCTGAATGATATAGACTTAAATGTGCAATTTTTTAAATGAGGATGTAGCTTGTGATTCCAAAGGTCCATATCTGTGTTGTTTATGTGAATGTAATGCAAGTATTTTTTTAAATTACTAAAAACTATTATTTTTCTATTTTTGTTGTTGTAATGTCAATTATAATTTCCTAATTTGAATCAAGCTATTTGATTAAAAACATTGCTTTCTGACAGCCTTCCCTGTGCAACTGTGGGGACAGCAGACCGAGTTGTTCTCTGCTGGGAGCTGCCTAATCATTCCATGAATATGTTGTCCTACATGGGTCCAGTGTCTTGAGCATACACAATGGAGCATACACAATGGATCACTGCTAACACATGAATAAAATGTACCTTGCTTTTTGCCCTCGAATCTGGAATCTTGGAAGCAATGGTCCTGGGTGGATGCAACATCTGTGCTGGATTTGATGGGCTGAGACTCAAAGGAGGAGGCTGATCACGGAAAACAGACGTCAAGCAGAGCTGCACAGTCTCTTTCATGGCTTTCATCTGCGATTCCTGAGAGCAAGGGAAGAATTAGTGTTTTTCACCATTCCCCACATTGGTCCCATCCTACACTCACTCCGTACAAATGCAGAAAGGTTTTCAAGTGGAATTTCTTGTTCTGTTTCAGCGTGGTGTCTACAGAAAGATTCTCTATTTGAACACCTTGTGCCCAGCTGGTTGCACAGTGAAGGCTGTGGAGCCTTGGATGAGGGAACGGGACACCGGAAGACAGGCCTTAAGAGGAAATATGATGGACACACTTCCGGCCTGATCTTTGACCTCTGACTTGCTCTCCCCTAGGTTGCATCTCCACCCTCGCTTTCTCTCTCCTTCTTCCTGCCTGTCTACCCTCTCACTTTCTTAGTCTCTTTCTGCTACCTGATCTGGTAAGTTTTGGATTGAGTGTCCCAAGCTACCACCACTGCCTGTGAGAGCTGTTCCTGCTACCACATAGCCCCTCCCTGGAGGACCCAGGGTTGTCTCAGACATTGTCATGAGCTATGCATATGGTCCAATACGTTTGTATACATGATCTCATTCTACATTGTCAATGGTTTGTATACCTATGGAAACCCCTCAAACCGTAAGTCAGACCAAATTCTTCTGTCTTTAAGTTGTTTTTTGTTGAATTGCATAGAAAAATAACTAACTCAGAAGACTGATGACACGATATGGGTCTCTTGCCACTATAGACCTGATTATATTGCCTGTAAGTCTTTGGAACTGGGTTGCAGGAAAATACAGAACAATTTGAAACATCCGGTTAGGATAATTCTAGGAAACGAGAAGCAATGTTTAGTAGGTGATTCTGATGGGGGTTATAGAGGAGAAGCATCCTATCAGAAATGAGTACAGTGAACCTTGGCTCAGACATTGGTGGAGAGGTCCCAGCTGGTCCTACAATGAAATGTGCACATGGACAAATTCAAAAGCAATGCACTGACTGGTTTGATGGAAAACATTTCAAGTGGGCATGACATCAGGCTGCGGGAGGGATGCTGTTCATTGTGTTAAGTGAGGTTTGTAATAGGTCTTCAAAGCAGAGAGTGCAGTAGAAGGCGGTGACGTATAAGCTGGTCAATGAGAAAACACATGTGAGTGAGGTTAAAAGCGGCAGGCATGGGGCAGATACCAACAAACTGCGTGTAGCTGTCAAAAGTACTGTTAAGGTGAAATTGCACACTCTACATGGGAACAATAGGAAGGGGCAATTAGGTTAAGCCCTCACTTCTAGAAGGTTCTAGGGGGAAACAGTGTGAAGTCATTTGAAAAGAGAATGCTTGTACACAGGGAACTTCCAGGGCATCTTTTTTGACAGTCTTAGGTCTGGAAAGATGGCTCAGCAGTTAAGAGTGTATATTGTTCCTGTTGAGGATTGGAGCTCGGTTCCCGGCATCAGAGCATCCAATAGTGTCTTCTGTCCCTTGGTAGCACTGTGTTAACATATGAAACACCCAGACCCACCACACCCTACACACAACTTAAAAATACAACTAAATCTTAAAATTGAAAGATGACCATTAGCCTTTAGACTTTTGAATATTGTTGGGCATATTAAAGATTATGTGGTTTTTGATGTTGGACTGAATAATTGATTAGCATGAGATGGCTATGAATATCAAGGTGTGAGTCTATGATGGAGGGTTTCAATACTGAGAACCCGCAGAGAGCAAACAACACCATTTCCTGTTTACATGCACTTTTCTTCCGTGTTGTTCACAACATACATCTCACAGATAAGTCTCTGAGACATTGCAGTGTCTTTCCAGTTGGTAAATAAATCTCTAAGTCAGAGCAATAACTCAACCCAGATGCTGGAAGTGATGAACAACCATGAAACCGTAGTTTTAAAGGATGATTTTTTAAGTAAACTTATTTTGATGTATTGTGAAAGACAGTGCACATGTGTTCAATTTTACTTTAAATTCTGTGTCAGATATATGCATTCAGAGGCCCCTGACCTCATCGGGAAATCTCCAGATTAATACTGTCAACATTCTGTCTCTAACCGTTCAAGGTGGGGACAGTGATTTGTATTTTGCCTGGAGCATTTCTTAACATGTTCCTTCCTGTGATTCCTTCTAGGGACTACAACCCGCACACGGACCTCCCTTGGTATTGTTGACAGACTAGACAGATATTACCAGAGACCCTGGTCTGGGATTTGTCACGAGAATTAGTGCCATTGTTCTTCAATCACCTCAATAGAGTACCTCACAACTGAACAAGCATGTGTCTGATGCTGCCGGTGTAGTGTTCACACAGGTCCAGGGACAGAATCAAGACAATGACCTGACTGCATGGCCCATTCCATCATCATTATACTTCCAGGGCTGTCTATCCTGAAGCTTCAGGCAACTGTTTACTTTGAAGTTCACTACGAGTGATGTCTCTTACTGAAGTATGAGGTAATTCATGCCATGTGCTTTCCTCTAAATCTAAAGAACTATTCTTTTCTAGGATAACTCTTAGCTTAAATGTTCCTTCCTTGCTCCAAACTACTTCTCCCATTCATTTTGCCCTCTACTCTTGAAGTTGTAGAATCTGTAGTTAAAATGCCGCATTTTTTCAGTTCAGTGCAGTTATAGCTGGAAAATTAATTACTTTTCTGGAAACTCAGAATTGATTTATAGATTTCAGATTCTTTTGGTTATTTTCATATAATAAACTGACACTTCATTCATTAGAAATAACATTGAGGACAAAGTTAGAATGTGAAGATGTTCTCACAGTATTTAAGTGATGGTTAAGTTTATTTGAACATGAGGCACAGGATATCTAAGGTAAACATGTGCAAGATATGAAAATAATCTCCCATAAAAGCAATATAGAGTGGTGCAAAGCAATATTTTTTGAAAATTTTTATTTATTTGCTTATTTTGGTTTTTTAAGATTTTTATTTATATTAGAAACAGTCTTGCTTTACATGTCAATCCCTTATCGCTCTCCCTCCCCTCCTTTCCTGCCCCCAAATGACCCCCTATCCCATCCCCTTTCTGCTCCTCAGGAAGGGTGAAACCTTCCATGGGGGATCTTCAAAGTCTGGCATATCCTTTGAAACAGGACCTCCATGTGTCTAGGCTAAAAGAGTAGCCCTCTATGTGGAATTGGCATCCAAAGTCCATTCGTATACTAGGTATAAATACTAATCTTCTACCAGAGGCCCCATAGATTGCCCAGGCCTCCTAACTGACACCCACGTTCAGAGGGTATGGATCAGTTCTATGATGGTTTTCCAGCTATCAGTCTGGGGTCCATGAGCTCCCCTTTGTTCAGGTCAGCTGTTTCTGTGGGTTTCTCCAGTCTGGTCTTGACCCCTTTGCTCATCACTCCTCTCTCTCTCTGTTTAGCTGTTGGTGTCTGCTTCTGCTTCCATCAGTTACTGGATGAAGGCTCTAGGATGGCATATAAGGTAGCCCTGTAATCTCATTATCAGAGAAGGGCATTTAAGGTAGCCTCTCCACTATTGCTTAGATTGTTAGTTGGAGTCATCCTTTTATCTTTAAATTGCAGGGTTATTTTTTTACATTATAGATTGAGATAATCTTTCTACCTGAATTTAGAGCTACAGTTTTTAAATCTCACAAACATCTTGCTTGTTATTTATAAAATCAGTCTCTAATAATGTACAATTTTTATAGTTCTATGTAAGAAAAAGAGGGGACAGAATTATAAAGGTTAAAGAAAAAATACTCATCTCAAAAAAGAAATCTTACCTCATTCACTAGTTAATACTAGCATATCAGCCTTCTGTGTATTTTCCACATGACCGGCAATATTCCCATCTGCCTAGTTGTGCATACAACAACTCAAATCACTCCTAAGGTGTAGGTGGTGTGGCTGCCTGCTATGAAGCATAGCACTGGGGAGATTTGAACATGGCCATTCAACAAAGATGATCATTCCAACAGAAGAGGACAGTCCCTGGAGGATACCTAACCACGACTCCCAGACGAGAATATGTGCTGTGGCAGGGTATAGGGTGCATACGAGTGACAAATCGTGGGACAATTGTGCAGACCTGAAGGTTAAGGAACAGCTCTGAAATGGCACCAGAGTTCTCTGCCACAGGACTACTTAGAGTGTACTGTGGCTCTGGGATTTGGGGTTATTTACAAGTACTTGTGATGCATAGATCACGTTTTCTATTATTCTATTGTCTTGTGGGTCAGAAAGTGTTATCTCCTGATTGGTCCATTTCATTTGATATTGGGACAATGATCATGTCTCATACATTTTCTGATTCCTGTAATGTCCAGCATAATAGCGTCTCACAATAGCTATCTTAAAACCTAATAACCATTCATCAATTAAATAATTATATCGTGTCAGATAAGGGAAAGTATTTTAGATAGGATAATTCAGTAGACAGAAATGATAGTCTTAGAAGTTTGGTAGATTTCCCTCAGGTTCTTGAAGACTCAACGTCTTCTTAGGATACAGTACATTTTTCAGAGACAGTGGCAGCAAAGACCGAATAATTTTTAAATGGGATCTGGGAAAATTTTAAGATTGAATGTTCCTCTTGGTTTTCTAATTCCACTAATTCTATGAAAGTCCGATGTCTTTTATACAAAGTGACAGAGCATGAGTTGTGTGAGCTGAGGTGACCCATCACTGGAGAAAACTTGAAACTAAATTTTTTATAAAACTAATTTTGGTCAAATGAATTATGCCTGATCTACTCCAAAGAATAGGATCCAGAGTGCCCCAAACTATTAAATGTTAATAATTTGGACAAATTAGTAAATGGTAATTCCAAACGACCGATGTTGATGAGATATCTACTTACTTTTCTGAATATTTAATTTATCTCAGAGCTCCAAATCTTACAAATGAACATCATTAACAGTCAGGATATGTCCTCCTAATTTCTCTCTTGTGACACAGTCTACACACTCTATGTGAGATGCACCGTGCATCAACTGTGAAGATGTCTGGATCATAACAAAATAAAGCTATATGATTATGAGAGACAGAGTCATATCCCTAAGCAGTAAAATTTTAGCTGGGTCTTCAAAGTGTATGACACAGTATCAAAATATCTGCACAGTATCAGGTTTCTTAAAATATGAGACCAGAAGCTCTCCAGAGGGAATCAACCCTACGTAGTCCCTCTCTTGTCTGTTGCACAGCAAAATACCCACCGTTCATGTTGGGTAATTAGGAGGCAACCATAAATTATTGAGGGAAATAACTTCACAAATACACTAGTGTCCCTTGTTCAAGTTTATCAATAAAATGATTACTAAACTGTGGTCACAAGTATAGAAAGTTCGTGACAGAAGGCAGAACACTCTAAGTTTAGCCAGCTGATTTTGAGAACTACAAGGCTATGCAGAAAATAATATTATATGTGAGGTTAGCAGCAGTCTGAACTTAATATGGAAAGATGGCTTCATAGCCACTTACTACAGCTCTATTCTGCATAAATTACAGACAGATAAGTATTTATGATTCAAATAAATATGCAGGCAGCATGTACCTAATGTCTATATATACATATATACTGCATGCATAGCATACATGCAATATATATACATATATATATACTAGTACAGACTATTATTTTGCATTTATTCAATGACTAAAGGGTGAAACGTGGTGCATGCAAGTGTTCTTTGTGGTCATCTGCACTACATTTCTTAGAAAACAGTTACAAAATTGTAATATTTGTTCTTTTACCTATTCTACCACCTTAAATATTTTAAAATATTTCTCTCATGTGTTTGAATAATTATTACTTATGGACGAAATACATTTTATTTGCAATTTTTATGTTTGGACTGGTATTTCCAAGTGTGGTTATGCGATATATATGAAATCCTATATTCTCTGTTATTGACAATATTACTTCTACATGAAACGTCCTTGTAGACGTTCCTGAGTTCTCAAACATGAGTAGCAGTTTTAAGACACAGGCATGTAAGAGACATTTTTTTTTTTGGTTTTTCGAGAGAGGGTTTCTCTGTGGCTTTGGAGGCTGTCCTGGAACTGGCTTGGTAGTCCAGGCTGGTCTCGAACTCACAGAGATCTGCCTGCCTCTGCCTCCCGAGTGCTGGGATTAAAGGTGTGCGCCACCAAAGCCCGGCTTGTAAGAGACATTTTTAACGACTCATGGTTACTTCCATTTTCTCTGTTCCTTCCAGAGTTAGCAGAAAACAGCACAGTTTCCGCATTAAGTGCGCTTTTCCATGCTGTTATGGAATAAATATGCCAGCAAGATAAAAGAAAAATGAAGTCACAAACCCAAAGAGTTCACACTGTTTTCTGCGACTGGCAGGAAGGATGAGGGGAGCATGGGGTGCAGGAAGACATCACACATTCAGGAGGTCTACGATAAGCTTCTGTGCAGTGTCTAGAATTGCACTGGACAACCACAGGCAGCATTTAACAACCCTGTGTATCCGTAGGGCAAGCAGGGCTGGCTCCTGGATGGGAACTTACCCTGTCAAGAGCTGCTTTCTCAAGTTCGTTTTTGGCTACAGCTAATTTTTGTTCCAGTTCGGTGAGCTGCTGGGCCTGTAACAGGGAAGAAAGGCAGATGATTTTAGGAAACCCTACAGTCGACATACTTGTCCTTTACTGAAAAAGAATAAAAAAGGGGGCAGAGCCTGTTAGTTTAAATTTGGAATTCAGATGAAAAATACAAAGTTACATAGTCATTTGGTATGTACGCAGAGAACACTGTGATCTGGATGAATGAGGGCTAAAGTCTTGTGGTTGAATCACCTTGTAAAGACTAATTCAGACTTTCTTATGTTTGTAAGTCCTCTTATCACAGATGTTTCTAGTCCTTGGGGACTGAACTGTATCTCCACACTTCCCGTGCTGATGCCTGACTACCCTTTGGAGTGTTGATTATTTATTTGGTGATGGAACAATTGAGAACATAATGAGGTTTAAAGTGCTTTCTCTCTGTCTCTGTCTCTCTCCCTCTCTTTCTATCAATTTCTTTTTCTCAGTTATAAATATCAAACACTCAGTGGGAAGGTATCATAGCCAAAACACCAGGACAGTAAGCATACTCTCCAAACAATGAATCAAGGAAAATGTGAAAAGGGCAGTCTAAGGTTTAGAAGCTTTTCTATCTGAGGGGTCCCTGGCAGTAGGAGCAGGCTCTATCCCTAGTGCCTGAGCTGGGTTGTTGGAGCCCATTCCTCATGGTGGAATGTCATGCTCAGCTTTAATGTGGGGTGGGGGGGGCTTGGTCCCACCCCAACTTAATGTGCCAGAATTTGTGGACTCCTCCATGGGAGTTTTTACATACTGGGTAGGAGGTGTACTGGGAGGAAGCAAGGGGGCAGAAGGAGGAGGTGTGGGAGGGAAAACTTTGGTTGACATGTAAACTGAAATTAATAATGATAATAGTAATAATAATTGAAAGAAGAAGAGGAAGAGGAAGAAGAAGAAGAATAGGAAGATTATGATGATAGTCTAGCCTTGAGGACTGTGCAGACATGATTCACATGAGCTGCCCAGTCTGCAAAATATTTTGTGGTATTCCAATAACATTAAAATTGCAATTTATGATCTTCTTCCTTATAAGATTTTACTCCTTGCCACTGTATCCTCACAAGTCTCTTCATTTCTTCAAATGTTGTAACTGGTTTCTTCAGTGACAGTAACAGTGACTTCATAATTGAAAGATGTATATTCTACAAAAAACACCAAGCTAACAGCGTAACATTTGGAGAGCTGCTGAGTGGGAGGGAGCGTGTGTGTCTCTGACTCTTTTGCCTGCTCTTAGAAATGTTTTCTTCGGTCATGATTGCCTTGTCCGGCCTTCATATGAGGACCTTCGTCTTTTCTCATTGTATCTTGTTTTGTCTCACTTGGTTGTTGTCTCTTGGAAGCCTGCTATTATCTGAAGGGAAAAGGAGGGGACTGTGCATCTGGGAGAGAGAGTGGGTGCTGTTGAGGAACTGGGAAGAGTGGAGGGAGGGGAAATTGTGGCCAGGATGTACTGTCTGAGAGAAAAATCCATTTTCAATAAAAAGAAAAAAAGAAAGATGTATATTCTAATCTTGCCTTAGCTATTTGATCTTGAACAAAACAGTTGATGCTTCTAAACAAAAGGTGAGAACAATTTTCTGTCGTAAACCATCACTGAATGAGGAGCATACAGCTTGGGGAAGTTCATTATCAACAAACACATAGTATTTGCACTACTTCAGTTTATAATTCTCTGAGCGTATTCCTTCCAGTTTATTTTGGTTTACATTAAGAGCAAGAAAAATTAGGTATCTTTATTTCAATTTGTGTCAGCAATGCTGCCATCTTATTCCCTATCAGCATTAATTCAATTGTTTCCTAATATCAACAATAGTGGCCTTATACAATATTAAACATGGATTGTGTGTACTGATTATACAATGAAGAAAAAATACTGTCAAAGACAAAATGGCTCCCTATCAGTATATGTAACACATGTGCTAATGACAGCTGTTACTAAGTAAATGAGGTTAAGAGAGGAAATGGGGACCCCAGAATCTACAGTAGTCACTTCTTCTCAAGGCTCCTGTAGCTTAACTGGAGAAATGGCTTGGTGGTGAAGACTCTCTATTCTTTTAGAACACCGAAGTTCAGTTCCCTTCACCCATGTAAGTTTGCTCACAATGTCCCATACCTCTAGCTCCAGGGGACTCAATACTTGCTTCTGGTCTCCATGCATACCCACGTTGTCTTGCACATACTCATGTATAGACACACACACACACACACACACACACACACACACACACAGAACTTTAAAAGTAATTAAAACATTTACAAGATAAAATTGATCTTGACTCCTTTGCTCATATAACCCCTCCTCCCTCTCGTACAATAGGACTAATGGGAGCTCATTGACTCCAGACTGACAGCTGGGGAACCTGCATAGGACTGAACTAGGCTGAACATGGGTGACAGTTCTGTGGCTTGGGCAGTCTGTGGGGCCACTGACAGTGGGACCAGGATTTTTCCTTATTGCATTAACTGACTTTTTGGAACCCATTCCCTATGGTAGGATGCTTTGCTCAACATTGATGTAGGTGGGGAAGGACTTGGTCCTGCCTCAACTTGATAAAGCCAGACTTTGTTGACTTACTCTCTCAAAGGGGTATATGGGAGTTTGGTGGGTGGGGCACGATGGGGAGAAGGGTAGTGTGGAGGGAGAGGCAAATGCAATTAGTATGTAAAATGAAAAAAAACTTTTGAGTAAATAAAAATTAAAAAACAATAAAATTGAGGAAAAGAATCATTCATGCGTTTGATCCTGTGTCTTGTAGTTCTTCCTATCAAGAGTGTTTATGGTTTTGATTCTGAATGAGCTCTTGTAGGTTCTAATGGCTTTCTTGGCCATTGAAATACAGGAAAGTGTTTGAGAAGCAAAATGAGATTGACAGGGCAAACTGCCTGTTGGAGTGCGGTGTCTCTCCTCATGCCCCGTATGGAGAGTCCAGACTGAGATTAAACCTGAGTGAACGTAGACCAGTGGAAACAGACAGCCACGCGTGCATCCAGCCAACATCACCGGCTTCCCCCCAACACACATGCACTTGTCCTATATCCACAAACGCCTGGTGCTTTCCACCTTTGAGTGTGGGTGGTGTCACTGCACAGCCTATGGTTATAAATGAGAGTCATCAAGGCAGCCCTTCTGCCTTGCTGTGGAAGAAAGCTTAGGAAGAAACCTAAGCTGTGGAAGAAACAAATAATGAACTGGATGATCGAGATGTCCAATGCAAACAACTATCGTGCTCTTGAATAAAGCCAACCCTGCTTACATAAAACACGCATCAACTAAGAGACTAGCAGGCAGCAGGAGGGACAGATGCGGCAATACTTTGTCAGGCAAATATATACTTCTAGTGCATTAAAATAAGGATGCATGAAGGCTCGCAGGACTGCATTGGAATGTGACACCCTCCAGTCATCTGAATAGGTGCCATTGTGTTCAGTGAATGGGTTATTTCTATGTAGACCTCCATTTTTCTCCATCTGAGAGAAAACGTCAGTTTCTGCATTTGAAAATTGTTGCCCAGCCTTGTCATTCTAACTACACAGGGAGAACAGATCCAAGATGGAGGGAGACTAGTTTTTGAACAGTGGATGTGGAGAAAAGGGTTTTATTACTAGTTTCAGTACACTGAGCAGAGTATTTAATTCCAACATGTCCATGTCCAAGTTTCTTTTTCTATATACAATAAAAGTATCTGTAAAGTAATTAAAGAAATAAAAGCAGCCCAAAGCAACATACCAACAAGGAAGGCACTTTGTTGTCCTCCACATATAGGCCATGAACTGGAACCAATGTAGCAACCTCGCATGCTCATTTCAGGACAAGGAAAATGCTTCCAATAAAAGAGAACATTTGGGTCTGAAACAATTATTAATAGCCAACCCAAGGTTTTCAGGTTTTCACCATTGCTGAAGTCTCTCTGAGTATGAGCAAGCTCATACATAAGCCAGGAGTTACAAAGAGAGTAAGAAAAAGTAGATTCCCATCTACTCACACGCTGTCTTGGTTTTTAAAAGAGCAGTCATTATGTCAATTCACACACTGTGTCTATATTGCATACAAGAAAGTTCCTGTGATAGATACAGCATCAGAAGACTTACAATAGTCACGGCACTTAGCCAGAGAGTAAACTGGTTAGTAAAATTAATTTTATAGAGTTTACTTGAGAAAACATAACGCACCATCAATTAAAATATGATGCCACCTAAGAAAACCCAGTGTGGATTCCAGGGGAACTTTCATCCTCACACAATCATTAACTAATATTTGTGACATGATTAATTTTTACAAGTCTGAAACAATAGTGAAAAATGGACTTTTGGTGCCAATCCCACACTGAGGGATGCTCTCCCAGCTTGGATACATGGGGGAGGGCCTAGGCCATGCCCTGTATGAAATGACAGACTCTGGAGATCCCCCATTGAGGGACTCACCCTCCCTGGGGATCAGAGAGGGGATTTTAGTGGGGAGCTGAGGGAACTGGTGGGGGTGCAAGAGAGGAGGTGAGGGAGAGGGAGCTGGGGTTGACTTGTGAAGCAATCTTGTTTCTAATTCAAATAAATAAAAAGTGAAAAGAAGAAAAAAACTAGAAGAAGAATAATCATGCACAGTTAAAGTTGCCTTATGAAATTTGAATAGCTAAACTAGGGTTGAGTGTTAATGATAACTGACAGAGGGAAAACGTCTCGGTGTGCCTGAGAGAGTCAGTTAGACAGCAGCATCACCTGACCTTCCATTTTTCTCGCAGGTACACTTCGATAGGAGCTGCATACCGATGGTGGGAGAAACGTCTTATTTCCTGGACACCGCCCCTAATCCCGTGTGGTCATCTTTAAATACTTGCAGATAAGGGCGAAGCTAAGTGGATGTGGTAGAGTCTACGTACAGCAAGAATAACTGTAGAAGGGGAGGCGGTGAAGAGGGGGAAGGATCATGGGAGAAGTCACAGAAACGAGGGAAAATGTCTATAAATGATGAAAACAGAGCGCGTTTGTGTGCGAGATGCCCCTACAAAGAA